AAGGTCAATTTTATTTCCTTGAACCAAGTGATAAATGAATTCGGCTGTGGCATCTATAAATGTGGTCCTGTGCAAGGTTGGCTTGATGTTATGGCACATAAATAGCCACAAGATGGCTATCAAACGTGTCAGCTCAATCCGGTGCCATTCAGTGGTGGGAGTGGCCATTAATTCTCCCGTCCCAATAAAATTTCTGCAACTTCATTCCAGTTAAATACGGTCGGGACGAGGGATATGTTGTCTCAAGTCAGCTGATAATAGTCGTGTATAACCTCTGGCGTAAACATTATCCACTTTCCCCTCACCCATGTCTGATGCAAGTGTTCAGACCCTGGTGTGTCAATCTCAGTATTGAAGTTTGCATAGAATTTGCCCACCAAGGTTTCATATGTAGGGTGTGGACGGTCAACTATCCTTTCCCAACTACAATTGTCAACCAAAGTACACAATTCATAGCTCGAGAAATCCTCTAACTTAACTAGCCATTCTTGAGTCAGTGCTTATCGACTTACAATGTTTTCATACCATGCTATAGCGTCAGAATTCAACAACCTCTGTACGTCTCCTTCGAACTCTCGGTTGCATGTCGTTCTTAATGATGAGCCGACTTTTTCTTTTCCCTTGGAGGTTCGTTTTGGAGGCATCCTGCAAAGTTGCAAAATAACATTTATTAAGCTTTTTGTTGAAACACGATAAATGGAATGAGATCAGTAAGGCACGTATTTCACAAATCCCTCAAACTTGCTTCAACATGCACGTATAACACATGGTGTGCAATATTCAAAACATGATATTCAATATAGTAGAATTATTGCGCCAATAGGAAAAACTGACAAAAATTAGGCCCAAACATGCACATTATGAAAATTTGACCCATGATCGAGTGCGCACTTTCAACCCTGGGCATCATCGAGAAATATTGAAATTTTCCCGAGCAATCTCTGGGCATATGGAAATATTCTAGCACATACTCAAATTTCAAGTTGATTGGATTTCGTTAGGTGCGTCAAATTATGTGCCAAAGTGGATGAAGTAAGGTGCCATGACCTAGCCATGTGCCTATGTGTTGCAAAACAGATATGGATGTTTTCTATAGTCTTTCACATCACCCAAGTGCTACTTATATCGATTGTAATGCACGACAAAAATAGAGTGCACAAAATTCCCTAGAACTCGTCACTTAGGCAATATGTTGAACATCTTGTGTGCATAATGAAATTCTCTTAACTTTGTCTGTTGATACTCTATTATGTAGCTCCCATATTCACATATCAATCACAAACATAACATAGCACTTAATCTTCACCAATTACTAAAAAATTAAGACAAGCCAAATCCCCAAATTTGAAATTTGTAAAGTAGGGTGTAAAGCACTTACCTTGAAATGTTGTATAGAAATGAAAGATTGGAAGTCTCTACTCACTTCATTGTTTGATAAAGATTTGTGTGTAATTTTTGTGGTTCTTTCGTGTGTTGACAGTTTGGGAGAGATGTGGGTATGTGTCTTGTTTGTGTGTGTTGGGAGAAAGAGATGAATGAAGGGGAAATGGGTATTGAATGGCCAAGTTACGAGTTAAAAACTAGTAATTGGCTAAACCATGCGGCATGGTTTAGCAAGTGCCCTTTGTTTTTTTTCAGTAAGTGTCCATACGGTCGCATGGACACTTTATCTATGTGACCGCATATACAATTTTTTTTTTTACATTAAATAAAATAAAACAAAACAAAACAAGTAAAGTAAAAAAAATTTTGATTTCCCCCCAACAACACGACCTTGACCTAAACTTTGGTTTTCAATTAGTATCCTGACCTGAACTTTCAACGCCCCAAACTTTTCAAAGTCAGATTTTTAAACATCTTGGTACATGTGTGGGGTTTAACTTAGTGCCAAAACCACTTTAAAGTCTCAATCACACATTGGCCTTGTAAATTTTTGAAAATGACCATTTGTCTTGAAATGTGTGAATTATACCCCAATCACCCAAAACCACTTCAAGCTTATCGAACATGTGCTCCATGCTTAGGAATTCGTGTGAATGATGCTTAGACTCTATTGACATGCGTGGACAATCAATGACCTAACTAAAAATGCAAAACGTAAAATTGAGTATTCCTAATCTAATGCAAACGAAGATAAAATAAATCAAAGGATACAATGGGTTGCCTCCAACCCAGCGCTAGTTGATAGTCAATAGCTCGAATTTTTCACTTCTGCTTCAATTGGGCATTTCGAGTTGAACGGTGAACTTTTGCTTGGAGAATTCCCTGCCCCAGTAGTGTTCCAACCTTTGCCCATTAACTGTGAATGTTTCTTTTATTTCATGGCTGACCTGTATAGCTCCATATGGCAGAACTTTAGTGACAGTGTAAGGGCTTGACCACTTTGATCTTAATTTTCTAGGGAAAAGCTTGAACCTCGTGTTATATAAGAGGACTTTCTACCCTACTTCAAACTCTTGCCTCTGAATATATAAATCATGCCACTTTTTGGTGTGTTCTTTGATACGCTTCGAGTTTTCATATGCTTCCATTCTGAATTCATCCAATTCATTGAGTTGTAATAAACACTTTTCACCGATGGCCTTCAAATCCATATTTAACTGTTTCATAACCCAGCATGCCCGGTGGGAGGTGGCACATTTTTCTAAAAACTATGCGAAATGGTGACATGCCTATCCATGTTTTGAATGTTGTCCTATACGTCCACAATGCGTTGTCCAACTTTTTGGACCAGTCCTTTCGGGAGGAATTCACTGTAACTTCTAATATTCTCTTCAGCTGCTGATTGGACGCTTCGACTCGCTCACATGTTTGTGGATGATATGGGGATTGCCTGCGGTGTGCCGTATTTGGTAAAGATGTATTTCTGCAAGAACCTAATTACCACTTTCGCGTCGTTCGTTGGAAATGCAATTGCTTCCACCCATTTTTACACATAATCAACTGCTACCAGAATTTACTAATTTGAAAACGATGGGGAAAACGGTTACATAAAGTTGATTCTCCATACGTCAAATATCTCGACTTCCAATATGCTGTTTGGTGGCATCTCATTTCTTCTTGCGATGTTCCCTATGTGTTGATATCTGTCACACCTCTTAACAAACTCAAAGGTGTCTCTGAATAATGTAGGCCAATAAAACCCTGATTGTAAGATCTTTGTGGTAGTTTTTGAAGCTCCCAGGTGCCCCGCATAGGTAGATGAATGACAATGCTCAAGAATTTCAGGTACTTCATCTTTAGGTATACACTTTCTCATAATTTGACCAGCCCCTTGCCTATAGAGGATAGGATCATCCCAAAAATAATATTTCAGTTCGACAAAGAATTCTTCTTCTGGTGACTCGAGTAATCTGGCGGTGGGATTGACTTAGCTAGATAGTTGACGTATCTGCATACCATGGGGCTTCTTCTGCAGTGAACGTATGCTCATCTGGAAAAATTTCGTTGATATACGTTGACACTTCTGGTTCTTCATGTTCTAATCTCGATGGGTGATCTGCTACTACATTTTCACTGTCTTTCTTTTCCCTAATTTCAAAGTTGAATTTTTGCAGCTGTAATACCCAATGGATCAAACTTGGCTTAGCATCCTTCTTTGTCATTAGATACTTCAATGCAGCGTGATCTGTATAGATTATGACCTTAGACCCCACGAGATATGATCTGATTTTGTCAAAGGCATATACCACCACCAAGAGCTCCTTCTCAGTGGTTGTGTAGTTGATCTGGGCATCATTCAATGTTGGGCTTGCGTAATAGATTACATGGAAGATCTTGTTCTTTCACTATCCCAGTACAGGCAGTACTGCACCTACTACATGATCACTGGCATCACACATTAACTCAAAAGGTAATTCCCAATCAGGTGCTACAATTACTAGTGCTAACGTGAGTTTCTCTTTCAAAGTGTTGAAAGCTGTCAAACATTCCTCATTAAATTCAAAGGGCACATCTTTCACTAACAGGTTGCAGAGGGGCTTGGTGATTTTTGAAAAATCTTTTATGAATCTCCTATAGAATCTTGCATGTCCCAAGAAGTTGCGAACCCTTTTAACTGATGTTGGTGGCGATAGCTTCTCAATAACCTGAATCTTTGTTTTGTCCACCTCAATCCCTTTGGCTGAGACCCGATGTCCAAGTACAATTCCTTCCTACACTATGAAGTGACATTTCTCCTAGTTCAATACTAAATTGGTTTCTCTGCATCTTTGTAATACCAAATTCAAGTGTTCCAAACACTCATCAAACGAAGACTCGAACCAAGAAGTCATCCATAAATATCTCTACCATGTATGAGAAAATAGCCACCATACATCGCTGAAATGTGGCAGGGGCATTGCAAAGGCCGAAAGGCATCCTGTGGTATGCGAAAGTACCATAAGGGCAAGTGAATGTTGTTTTCTTTTGATCATCTGGTGCCACTGGTATCTGATTATAACCTGAATACCCATCGAGGAAGCATTAATGTGAGTGGCCTGCCAATCTCTCCAGCATTTGGTCTATAAATGGAAGGGGAAAGTGATCTTTTTTTGTTGCTGCATTAAGTTTGGAGTAATCAATGCAAACCCTCCATCCAGTCACTGTTCTGGTCGGTATCAACTCACTCGTCTAATTTGGCACTAATGTTATTCCACCTTTCTTTGAGACCACCTGAACTAGGCTTGTCAATGCACTGTCTGATATTGGATAGATGATTCCAGTATCTAGAAGTTTGAGTACCTCTACTCTAGCCACATTCTTCATATTTGGGTTCAACCTTCGCTTACTCTCTATGGTTGGCTGAAATTTCTCTTCCACGAGAATCTTATGCATGCACAGTGAAGGGTTGTTCCCTTTGATATCTGCTATGGTCTATCTAATTGCTGTCTTATTCTCCTTGAGTACTCTAAGCAGTTTCTCCTCTTCCACTTTGCTGACTGTGTTAGAGATGATAACTGAAAGTGTACACGACTTCTCCAAGTATGCATATCTGAGATGAGGCGGTAGCTGCTTGAGTTCTAATTTTGGCGACTGTGAATGGATGGTAGTGGTTTCATGGGTCCTGTTCCAAGCTCCTCAAAATGCCTTCTGCGTGTATAAGGTGGGTTAGTATCCAAAAATCTTGCACAAGTTTTCATCTCCACTGAATCGGGCTGCATTGACTGCGAATGTGCAATACAAGCTTCATATGCATCTGATGGGTTGTGTAGCAAAAATGAGTCTTAGACCACCTTGTCAATCACGTCGATCTAGAAACAGCTATCTGTCTCTGTAGGTAGTTTCATTGCCTTGAAGACATTAAATGAGATCTGCTCTTCTCCCAGTCTCAAAATCAACTGCCCGTTGTGAAAGTCGATTAAGGCTCTTCCTGTTGACAAAAATAGTCTGCCCAGTATCAATTGAATGTCCTTGTCCTCTTCCATGTCCAACATTAGGAAATTTGTAGGGAATATGAATTTTTCAACCTTGATAAGCATGTCCTCTATTATACCCCTGGGATGTGTCAATGACCGATCCGCCAGTTGCAGTGTCACTGTAGTCACCTTAGCCTTTCTCAAGCCAAGTTTCCTGAAAACAGATAAAGACATTAAGTTAATACTTGCACCAAGATCACACAAAACTTTATCAAAATAGATTTCACCAATCGTGCAAGGAACAATAAAACTCCCTGGATCTTTCAATTTTGGTAGGAGCTTTTTCTGAATTCTGGTGCTGCATTCCTCTATTAGCATTACTGTCTCGTGATCCCATAGCTTGTGTTTATTTGATAGTATGTCCTTCAGGGACTTTGCATAGCTAGGCATCTGGAACAGTGCATCGACGAGTGGGATGTTGATGTGGAGTTTCTTGAAAACTTCAAGAAATTTCTTGTATTGTTGCTCCAACTTCTGTTTCTTTAGCCTCTGTGGAAAAGGTATGGGAGGCTCATGAGGGTTAACAGTTGTTTTACCCTGTGTTTTACCTAGTTTTTCAGCTGGGGTGGATTCCTCTATCTGCTCATCATGCTCTATAGGTTCCTCTATCGCTGGAGATTTTGTTTCTTGATTTATACTCGACCTTTTTACATGGATTCCCGACAGTTGCTTACCACTTCGAGTTCTAATTGCCTTAGCATGCTCCTCCGAGTTTATTTTCGTATTACTCGGTAAGTTACCTAGTGTTCTGCCAGTCAAAGCAATTGCCATTTGTCCCATTTGACTCTCTAAATTTTTAATTGTTGCATTCTAGTCTTAAAATGTGGCCTCGATTTTCCTCATGAATTGATTGTTAGCTTCCATGTACTGATTAGTCTTTTCCATGAATTTACTAAACATATCTTCCAATTGAGACTTTTTCTCTAGCTACTGATACTGACCCTGTGGCTTATTCTTGTTTTGATTGCTCCAAGAGAAATTGGGGTGCTTTTTCCAACTCGAATTGTATGTTTTCCCATATGTGTTATTTTGCGGCTGCTATCCTCATTGAGCAAAATTTGCTTGCTCTACTCCTTGTACCAAGATTGAACATTCTGCTGTTACATGTTCGACTCTACATTCTTCACAACTGGCCTTCTTCGACAGTGCTGCTGAAGTTGATTGTATCATGTTCTCTACCTTGTGAAATAATGAATCAATTTTTGCTAAGAAGGCAGAATAAACATCCACTTCATAAACCCCCGATGTTTTCTTCTGAACTGCTCGTTCCAATGTCCACATAGTTGAAGTGGTAGCCATAGTCTCAAAAAGTTTCAGTGTCTCATCAATTGTCTTTGTGGACAGCGATCCATTAGAAGACGAATCAACCATGCTTTTGAAGGCTGGAAGTAATCCCGCATAGAAGTATTGGACCTGAAGTCTCTTGCTAATTCTATGATGTGGACACTTTCGCAGCATATTCTTGAACCTATTCCAGGCTTCATCGAAATTCTCTAAGTTGCCTTGGCGGAAGGCAAAAATGTCGTGCTTGAGTTTTGCAATATTAGTAGGTGGGAAGAACTTAGTGCAGAATTTCTGGGCTAGAACATTCCATGTAGTGATGCTTGTGATTGATTGCGAATCTAGCCATTCGATTTCCTTGTCGAGCAATGTATGTGGGAACAATCTTAATCTGATTGCATCATCTGAGATTCCTTGATATCTGAAGTGTTGGCACATCTCCAAAAAACGAGAAACATGCATATGTGGATTCTCTTCAGTCCTTCCATAGAATTGATAACCGTTTTGAAATAATTGTATCACATTAGTCTTCAGTTGGAAGTTCGGCTATCCAAACGATGGATACATGATTCTTGACTAGCTTTGAATTATCCGAGGGGTCATGAAATCTCCTACGAGCATATTTCCTTCATCCCATGCCCCTTCTTCATTGGCCTAAAAAATCGGATTATTCTATATGTTAACCATTTGTTATTGTGCCTCCCTATTTTCTCGCTGCCTTCGATGTAGAGTTCGTTCGATTTCTGGATCAGCTAGGATCAATTCTCCTTCAACAGACTTTAACATGCAAATCTGCGAGAAGAGTCAATATGAGTGCTTAGATGTTAAAATGAAATAATAAATATAACAAATCAAAATTAAATTAAATAAAATGAAGTAAAACACAACAAAATAACAGAAAAGGCAAATGTGGATGTTCGAATTTGTGCCAATATAAATAAAATTAAACGAATACTCAATCCCCGACAACGGCGCCAAAAATTTGTTCACAAAATATTTCTTTCGACTTAAAATTACCGCAAGTGTACAGTTCGTTAACAAGTAACAAAGTGGAATATTAAGTTTCGAGTATCATCCCACAGAGATCGAGTAGTTCAATTCTATCTATCTTAGCCTTAACCGAAACAAATTTGTCAAAACAAGAATTTATTTTTAGAGAAACCCTAATTTAATAAAACCCTAATGGATGAAAACCCTATTTTCTCTAAATGCTTTGATTATGCAAGTTATATGTTCAAATGAAATTAATTGCAAAATGATGATTGGAATGCAAAATTGATTATATTCAATAAAATTAGAAAACATTATGATCACGAATTCCTATTAAACAATCATTTGAACTCCTAATTGCACAATATGACAACACAATTTGATTATTGACGACTCAATGCTCCTAAGTCTATCCAACACACTCTCTCGAGCAATATTGAACCTATTCTTATGTATCACCAGACTGATGCATATACATAAGAATACATAGGGTTTTATGAGCAATTAAAGAATCACGCAAGGTATAGAGGTATATTTCTATCCCCTATCGGACCCTACGATGATCTATACCTTGTCAAATTTATTTTCCTTCTCTCAAATGTAGGAAATAAATCACTACACATCACACAATCGTGTGCACTCAATCATGGATGAAATAAATGTACATAGATCATTCAATAAGTCAAATATGCATTTAATTTATCAAATTGCAAAATTAAAATCTAAAAATCATATTACATAGTTCAACGATCTCCTAGCATGAGAAAACTTAGCCTAACATTGAAAATCTAATGGAATTCATGAATTTTTGAAAATAAAACATCACCGTATATTGTGATTTGATGAAATATTGATGTTCTTCGCAGAATCTCTTGTTGATCTCCCTCAATTTTGTCTCCAAGAAGTGTTTTGTTTTTCTCCAATGCGTTCTAGCCCTACTTCTGACAAGTCTAGGCCTTTATATCGCGTCCAGATCATGTTCCAATAGAGTTATAACATAAAACGAAAACTGCAGAATCGACCCTCCGTAAAAAAAATTTGTGTTTTACTTTCAGTTGGCTTCTATGCGACCGCATAGGTGCCTCATTTTTCCACAAGTCGATTTTAGTCCTTGAACTTCATTTTTCACATTATTGGCCTTGTTTCTTTCTTCTTTTCATTCCCTCTAACCTGCAATTGGTACTTGGCTCGATCAAAACTTTGATTGCTCCTTTGGTTCATCTTTTGAATATTTGCATGTTGGTCCCTTAACTTTCATTTTGATTCGTTTTGGTCCTTTTTGCTTTTTTTCCGTGAATTCCACCATGTCCATCACTATACCCTACAATCAAAGAATTAACTGAATTTAAGCCACAATTCAAACACTTTTTTCGTGATTTAGTCTTGTTTGTGCATTAAATAAGTGCACTAAAATGCACTTATCACCATGGCAAGGAATTGAGGATGTTCCCTATAGCTTCATCAATTAGACCTTCTCTGACTCCATGGTTGATGACAATTGACATATGCGATTTTTGAAATTGATGAAGTATAAAAGTTATAGAGCTCAAAACTATATTGCCCATGTTGTCGTTCTATGTAGAATGATTTCAAGAACATTGATGAATTGAGCATGATTTATATATTTTAATTGACATAATATGTATTTGTTCATGATTTGAAGTGATGAATTGGGCAGGTAAAAGTGAGCAACGCTTGTATAAATGGTTCATTTTGTTGGAATTTTCTATCAAAAATTGGTTGTAATCAATTTTACATGATTATTTAAGTGGAATTCTTAATTTGGTGAATGAGAAATTAAGCCAAATGTAAGCCGCTTAATACTTGAAATTGTTGAAAAATTGTATAGAATATTGCAAAATATTCTAGAAAAAAGTTGGATGAAAAGATGTATTTTCGTATGAACGGTCATGACCTTTGGCATAATCATTTTTCAATAATTATGAATTCCAAAAAATGTGAATCTTGGTATGGTTGTATCTTTTGACATACCTTTCCAACTACTATATATAGACCCCATGTATTTGAATTTTATCATTCAAGAAAGTCATGAAAGTCAGTAGATAGTTTCATATCATTCCATGCTTACACTTTAGTTTGCATAAAACACTTGCATCAAAGTCATGGTTATGGTAGAGAGGGAACTTCATTCTAGTTCGTTGGTCGAAATCATTTGGAGTGCTCCTATGGCTTGACGTGGTCGTTGTGTCTTGGAAGATGATTGTCGAAAAGTCATTAACACCAATACAGGACAAATTTATCTTAAGGACAAAGTGTCTAACACTTGCCTCGGCCGATCGCATCACTCGTATCTCACCTTGATTCTTTTTGATTTATTTCTTCATATTTGATTTCAGAAAATCAATAACATTCTTTTGATTTCATGTAGCTTTGAAATAAAGAAAGGAAATGATTGAATCTATCATTTCATCTTTCCAAATCCATTTGGATAAGACTAAATTGCGTTTCGACTTTGTGAACATAAATGGCATGTTTGTGAATATAATATGTACAATATCGATGTAATTTTCCAACACATTTTTCTTATGAGCAACAATTCATTGATGAACAGTGGTATGCTCTATGTTGAGGTTTGTGACTAATGGGAATTATGTGATTTGTAGGTAAGATAAGGCACTGAAATTCAATGGAAATAATGTTATTTATGACTAATAGAAATAGTATGGTTTGTGCCCAGGAAAATTAGTGACCATAATCGATTAATTATATAATTTGTAATTAATAAATTTATAATGAGCTCTTAATTATTTGATTTGTGATATCATGTGTGATTATAACCCTTAAATTGTTTCGTGTGTGACTATGACCTTGTGTAATTGTGATTTAGTAGGTGATTGTGACTCATAAATTGTGTTGTATGTGATTTATCATTTAGTATGTGATTGCAACCCAGTTTAATTATAATTTTACGTCACAACATTTATCCAATGTCACAAATGTGACAACTTGATTTTTGAATGGTCACAATCACTATTCAGATCTCTCAAATTCTAAAATCTTTTTTTTTTCAAAAATTAGGTGATCACGTTTTGTGACATTTTATATAATTTTATGACCTATAATTTATTTAAATGGATCACAGTCACAATAACACTAATTTATAATCATGGTTACATACTAGTCATAAATTATACAAGGTCACAATCACAAATAAATAATTTATAGGTCAAGATTATAAATTTAATTGCAAATTATATATTTTATAGATCACAAATTATTAATTAGTCACAACTTACCAAATTAATTGATTACGATTTATTTTACAGTCTCAAATTATCAATTATTTTATCACAACTTATTTATCAAATTAATTGTTCACAACTTATTTATCAGTCACAAAACCACAAATTGTCTGTCACATTTACAAATTTAATAATGACATCACACGTTTTTTGGTCACATATTATTTGATCAATTTTTCAAATTAATTGATTACAACTTATTTATCGATCACAATGACACAAATCGTAGGTCATGAT